TTAAAGAAATTTTTAAAATATGTTTTTATTGATTTCAGAGACGAAGGGAGATAGAAACATCAATGATGAGAGAGAATTATTGATTGGCTGCCTCCTGCACACCCCTACTGGGGATGGAGCCCGCATCCAGGGCAAGTGCCCTTGACTGGAATCGAACTCAGGACCCTTCAACACACAGGCCAACATTCTACCCACTGAGCCAAAACAGTCAGGGCTTTAGGGCAATTTTTAGTATATTAAGAGGGTTATTTTGACTGGGTACTATAACTGCCTTAAAGAACCTCTTATTCATTGAGGGCCTGAGCTGTCTCCTCTTCCTTTAGAGGAACACTGGAGAGACCATGATGCATGTGAGCAAGGCACCGTGCTAGGAGCTCTGTCTTGTTCTGTTCCAGCAGCTTCTACCTCAGCTTTGTTCTATAGAGAACAATCCAACATTGAGTTTCTTAACAATGCTAAAGACTTCTCATTTGCACATTGCTTTTCACATTGGACTAGAATCCTGTATCCTAAGAATAGATCTCAATAGTGGCCTGTTTTTTTTCTTTACATGGTATATCCCACTTATCTGGGTCTTTTTATATCTCCCTCCAGTGTTTGCCACCATAGTCCTCATTTTCACTTTGCTTAATGAGGATCATTTCTTTTTCCAAGCTTCCAAGGACCAACCAAATACTATCACCTGGGGTCTTTGCCAAGGTATTAAATCCAGTGTCATAGGTCTATTTTTCCTTTTCCAATTTTATTTCCTGTCCCCTTCCATCCAGCATAATCCTGTACATGCTCTCCTGCTTTGCCAGATTATATTGCCCAGTCCTGCAGTTCCTTCAACACATAGTCCTTTACTACCTTTAGCCGGCATTTCTCCGGTGGGGCTGCACTGTACCTTAATCCTGGCTATCACTCTGGCTGATGGTGGTTGGGAGTGGAGATTGGGAAATAAGGGGAGATAGGTATTGTCTTGGAAGGGAAAAACCTTTATATCATCAAACTTATACATACATCCCCAAGAGAGGACCATTAGCAGTTAGCAGAAAAGAATGGGTTACTCTTAAGGGTCAATAGGGTTCAGGGAATGTAAGATTTTCAAATGCATTGACCCAGATGGCCCATTTTAAGTCTCAGCATCCTCCCCAACCATACCCCACCAATCAGAGCCTTGACCTTGGTATAACAGACATGGTGTTGAGAATTTAACTCTTCTGGAACTCTGCTAATCATATAGATTTTGGCCCAAAGATTTTGTTTGCCCTCTGGCTACAGGATATATAAATCATTTTATATGCAACCAAAAAAGACCCACTGGCTTCCACACTTGGTCTGATACTGGCAATTAATCATCCTGTTTTTTCATTATCTTTCTTTAATAATGTTTCTTTCATTCTGAATTAATGAGTTCTCCTCCCACACACGAATGGCCATGCAGTTCCAAAATTTTTACAATTACTATTTCCTAAAGGCCCTGAAATACTGCATCTGTTGGTGCACTCCCTTCGGCACGCACCCCATTCTAGTTTACCACTGCTGGAAGTTTAACAATTGCCATAGCATTCCAGGGGCTATCAGTGCTCCGCTGCCACCAGGGTTCTCATTACCAACAGGCTGGCAGGTGACCCAACTTCAAACTTTCACCTTAGAGTCTTTTTCCAGGACCACTTTTTGTACCAACTCTCATTGGTTGAATTCCTTAGGAAACAGATTCTGAGATTTTCATGTTGGGTTTTTATTGGGTGGTACTCTAGAAGCCAATACCTGAGAGAGGTCAGGGAGGCAGGATCAGCCAGAATTTGTACTGTGATGCAAGGGCAGTAGAAATCTAGAGCCCACAGTACCTGATGGGGTTAAACATTATCATCAATCAGGTAACTTTTACAGAGTGTCTGCACCACCAGATTTCTGGGCAGGGCTCCACGACTAGAAGATGACCATAGCTACATGGCAAGGTCTTCCCTCTCACCAAGGAGCAGACACTAATAAAGGTATAAGCCATATGCACTCAAAAGGGGTAGGGGCCCTGGCCAATTGGCCTCAGTTGGTTGGGCGTTGCCAAAAGTTTGCCTGTTGGAGTCCTGGTCAGGGCACATGCCCCAAGATGTGGGCTTCATCTGGTCAGGGTGCAGGAGGCAGCAGATAGGTGTTTCTCTCTCTCTCTCTCTCTCTCTCTCTCTCTCTCTCTCTCTCTCTCTCTCTCTCTCTCTCTCAGCTGGTGTGGTTCCATGGTTGAGCATTGACCTATGAATCAGAAGTCACAATTAGGTTAGATTCCCAGTCAGGGCACATGCCTATTTTTCAGCTAGAGCCCCACTAGGGGATGTGCAAGGTGCAGCCCAGCAATGGTTCTCTCATTGATTTCTCTCTCTCTCTCTGAAATATATATATCAGCCCTAACCAGCCTTTGCCAAAGTGTCTTGGGTTCGATTTCAATCAAGGGCATGCACTTTGGTTGCAGGCTCTCCCGCTGGCCCCTGGTCAGGGGCATGCAAGAGGCAACCAATTGATGTGAGGATATTTCTCTCAGTCTTTTCCTCTCTCCAAAAACCAGTGGGAAAATATCTTTGGGTGAGGATTTAAAAAAGTAAAATCATTTTTTAAAAATAGGGAGTAGGGGGTGAGGAAAGTCATTTCTGCCCTTAAAACACACTCGGTTTACTCCGTGGTGACGAAGCCGAAGGGAGGCCAAAGTGGGGAATAGGGAGCCTCAGGGAACTCTCTTCTGGCCAAACACCGACTCCACCCTCCCCCATGTCCGTCCTGGGGGGGGGGGGGGGGAAGCAGCTCGAAAGCAGAATTGTGTCCGCTCGGAAATGCCAGCGAGACGCTCCGTTGGGATTAAGTTCAAGTGACGTACAGGCCATGCAGGTGGAGAGGGCCTGAAATTGGAGGGGGGGCCTCTTGTGACCTTGGGTAGATCGCGGGATTCCCGAGGCCCGCACCCCTTCTCCCACCGCCAGCGGTTGGCGAGCGGCGGCCAACGCCTCCCCCACCCCCATCCCAGGCGCAGAGCAGGCGGGGTCCGGCGCCAGGTCTCCGCGGTCGGTCGCGGTCGGAGACCCCAGACCTCAGTCCCCAGTGGGAGGACTGCACGCGGACAGGATGGGACTATATGTCCACCTCTTTAGTCACTCGTGTTCCACCTACGCATCCCTAAAAGCCTGTGTGCCTCCTCGGAAGGAAACGGCTCCTTTAACCTGGGGCGGGAGCTGGCGGACCGGAAGTAGGAAACGGCTCCTTTAACCGGCGGCCGGAGCTGGCGGACCGGAAGTGACGTTCCCTGCGAATTCCCGGCCTGCCCTGCGCCCGCCCTTCCTTGGCGGGAACTGAGGCCGCTGAGCCGGCTGTGGCCCATCAGTCGCCGCGTAAGGCCGTTCGGGGTTCCCTGAGCCTCGTATTTTCAGGTTGAGGAACGGAGCTGAGACTGCGACACCGCCTCGCCTCCTCCCCATCCGGGAACCCCAGGAACGAGCCGCTCGGCGGCGTCCTCGCTCCGGAGTCGGGCGGCTGGGAGGCCCCGGCGGTGCCCGGGAACACGCGCGGAGAGCGGGGGATAACAGGTGACCAGCTGAAGAGCGGGCGAAGTCTGCCTTCTCCTCCCTCCGCTCCTGCCCTGTGATGCTCCTGGGCCGCTTTCCGCACCAGCCCGGGGCTGGACCGCCATCCGGCCTGGCTACCTCCCACCCCTTGGGGACATGAAAGCACAGTGCATACAGCATCTTTCAGAGTCCTGCTCTGGGATGTATTGCTATTGAGCAGCCTGTGGCAGGGATGGAGGAATTCAACACCTTAAATTAAAAACCTTGGCTGCTCGATTTACATTGTATTTTGTTTGCGTATATATGCGTGTGCCAAGCACAGAACTATGTGTTTGCACAGTTCTTTGATTTAGGTCAATTATGGAATAGGCCTTAGCTCCCTTTGCAGGAGTGGAACCTGTGTCTCAAATAGTAATGCAGTCATCAGATATTATGGAGCATGGGTCATGGACCAGTCAGTGCACAAGGCCTTGGGGATATAGCAGTGACAATAGAATTGCCACTAACGAAGGGGAATTTTCAGGCAAGCTAGTGATGCCTTTCTATCCCTAAAAAACGTATTTATGTTTAATTGAATTTAATAGTGGTTATCTTCAGGGTGAGATTTTGCATGAATTTTTAAACTCTGGCTTTTCAGCAATGTTTTGCTCTCTTCAAATGAGCAAAAACAGCTACTTCCATTTTAACAACAGACTCTGGGATGGTAGAACTCTCCCCTCCAAAAAAAAGCCTCTGAGTCCTAGTTGATTTGGCTCAGTGGATAGAGCGTTGGCCTGTAGACTGAAGGGTCCTGGGTTCAATTCCAGTCAAGGGCACATGCCCTGGTTGCAGGCTTGATCCCCCAGTGGGGCGGGCGTGCAGGAGCAGCCAGTCAATGATTCTCTTTCATCATTGATATTTCTCTCTCTCCCTCTCCCTTCTTCTCTGAAATGAATGTTAAACAAAAAAAAAAAAAAAAGCCTCTGAAGCCAGTAATTGGCGCTGCCAGTAAAACAGACCCCTGAGTGGAACTCTAACTTCTACCCCCATCTCCCCCCACTCCCCAAAGTGAAGGTTCTCATTGGTGGTCTCAGCTGACTCCTAACTGCTGAACCCATTCCAGAGTCTGATTAGAACTAGGTCCATGATTGAAAGGGAAGAGGCTATAGAGGTCCATGTACAGTTTGGTCATTAATGATATCACCTTTATCAAAAAGTTTGGAACTCAAATTTTTCTGACATAAGATTTGTCTTTATTCTGTAACTTCCTCACTGTAAATACATTCTGATATCCCTAAGCACTTTGACCTCTTTTTATGTCCCTGCAGCCTTCAGCACAATGCATTCAGAGGGTGCTAGGTCATGGGGTGATGTTCTTTATTAAATAAGTAATTATTGAATATCTTTGCACAAGGTTAAGTGCACTTCTTCATAATGGTTTCAAAAGAGCTTTTCTTTTTCTGTCTTGCACCTAATCAGGGTGAAGTAACCATGCAGGCATTTTTAAAAGGCACATCTATCAGTACTAAACCACCATTGATCAAGGATCGAGGAGTAGCTGCCACTGCCGGAAGTAGTGGAGAGAACAAGAAAGCCAAACCTGTTCCATGGGTGGAAAAATAGTAAGAACTCTTGTGTTTTTGTTGAAATTGTTAATAAATTTCATCTCTAACTAGTTATAAACCCTCCACCCCCCCCCCCCTTTTTTTTTTCTTTCTTAATGGGGGATGATTTGCTTGGTTTAGATGTTGTCCTTAAAAGTCACCCAAGGATGTAAGTCATAGAACCTTGGTACTGAAAGGTACCTTAGAATGATCTAATTTAATTCCCTTATTTATAAACTAAAGTCTTTTTATTTATGAACTAAAGTCTTCTGTATATCTCAGGTCTATGGTTTTAGGGGCCGGGATACAAACAGCATTGAAGAGAACATTTTTTTTTATAAGCCGGCTTTTGATCAGCTTTTTAGTAGAAGCTGATCAGCTTTTTAGATCAGCTTTTTACTAAGTCCAAGTAATCTGTTCCCCTTTCATTACTGATAGGTGGAAATTGTTGTGTGTTTGTTTTTTTATACGTTTTGGGCAAAAACAACACTTGAAGTCCCACTTAAATTTCAATCAGCTAGTAGTAGTGTAACAAATAGTAGTTGTAACTCCAAGTGTAGCTTCAGTTATTACCAAGACTTTGCAGATTACTTATAGGCCAAAAAGGCCCTCATGTTTTATTCGGCACCAACAATTCTTTTTTTTTTTTAATTTTTTTATTTGTCCTCCCCTCCCCTCCCCGCAGAGGCCCTCCCCTCCCCGCAGGGGCCCTCCCCTCCCCACAGACGGCACCAACAATTCTTAAAAATGGAAAGTTTCACATAAAAATCTAGATTTTTTTAAAAATTAAAAAATATATTATGCAAGAAGAGAGAAAAAAATCTAGATTTTCAACTCCTCAGTAGATTAGGCAGCCACTAGATGCAAATTCTCACCTGACAGCAGTTAGATGGACTTAGATACTGCTTCTCATTTTGGAAAGGTTGTGTCTTCCTCAATTCATCATAGTCCCTATTTTCTCTTGCCTTATACTCTGCTTTCTTCACTCTTGTTGTCACATACCTGGCCTCTGCAAGTGTTTGAATAAAAAAACTGGTTTATAACATAACACTTTTTTTTTTTTTTCTAGAAAACATTATCTAACATGAAATTCCTGCCTGGCAATGACCCGAGTACTTAGAAAAATATGACTTAGAAAGTTTCTGATTAGTAAACTAAGCACAAAGCCTAATCTTAGGCTTGGATGTATAACTGTTCGAGCTCTTAAAATCACTAGTAATGATTTAAGAAGAAAATTATGTTATACTTCATTTTGATTAAACTTATTTTTTTAACCCTTAATGAAGTAAATAGATATGCATTTTTTGTGCAGTTGAGTAATGGAAAAAATTGATATTAACCAAATAACAATGTAATAACTATATTTATATAGATGTATTAACTAAAATAGTTGCCTATCATGAGGTTGCTAAATAGTTCTCTCTTTTAACCTGAAATGCATGATCTTGTCAAAATATAATACTTTTGGCCCTGGCTCAGTTGACTGGAGCATTATCCCGAGTGCCAAAATGTTATAGTTTTGATTCCCATTCAGAGCACATACCTAGGTTGTGGGTTCAGTCTCTGGTCGGAACGCATATAGGAGGCAACCACTGTTTCTCTCTCACATTGATGTTTCCTTCTCTCTCTTTCCTCTTCTCCTCCCCTCTCTCCTCCCTCCCTTCCTATCTCTAGAAAAATCAATAAAAAGCATATTTTTACATGAGGATAAATATATATATATATATATATATATATATATATATATATCATATTACTTTCTAGGCAAGTGTTCACTTTAAATTTTTTAAGCACTTGGCATTTATGTTGTAATAAAATCCTTTTCCTTAATTTTTGTAAGCATAACATGCAAATTATGTGTCTGAACAGTGAAAAATTACTTCAGTCCTTTAGTATATTTGTTTAAGGCACAAATGGGGTTTCCAACTACTTCCAATTATGAAAGTTTCTCATTACCAGTATGAGAATTATCATCAGTATTTTAGCAAAAAGAATACTCGAAAACTTCTCTGTGGCTACTATAATATACAAAATAACCTTTGTTGTTGTTTTTTACAGTCGTCCAAAATGTGTGGATGAAGTTGCTTTCCAGGAAGAAGTGGTTGCAGTGCTGAAAAAGTCTTTAGAAGGAGCTGATGTGAGTAGCAGATGATGTTTAATGTCATTGGGAGATTCACCCTCTTCCTTTATTACCCCCACCCCCTTTAAATACTATGATATGTATACAGTGGGCCCACGATGACTATTTGTGCAATGGATGATTAGTTCAACAAGTATTTATTGAGCATCTCCAGTTCTATCCTCTGGCATTGTGATATAGTACTCAAGTATAGACCATTGAGCAAGACAGTCTGGGCCTCTTTGCTCATGAACTTTTATTTTGGTGGAAACAACAGAGTAAACATAGAAACCAAATAAGTAAGGGAATTCTAGATAACGATATGTGCTGTAAAGAAGAGTCAAGAGATTCTTTGAAAGTATAATTTCTCTGGTAGTTATAAAATTGTCACAGGCAATTTTGTACAGCATAAGGAATATAGTCAATAATTTTGTATGGTACCAGATGGGTACTAAACTTATGAGGGAGGGATCACTTCTTAAATTATATAAATGTCAAACCATAATGCTGTACACCTGAAACCAATATAAAATAATATTGAAAGTTAACTATAACTGAAAAAGAAAGTATAATTTTTCACCTAATTTTAGGATTCGGTTTGAACTACAATACAAAAAAAAGAAAAATGAGTCTTTAATTCTGCTTGTAGCATTGTGTCGCCTACTATGATGAGTGGGATAAAATGTCCTTGAATGACTTGTAATTTATTTTGAATCAAAATAATTTTGATTCAGCCGAAACCGGTTTGGCTCAGTGGTAGAGCGTCGGTCTGTGGACTGAAAGGTCCCGGGTTCGATTCCGGTCAAGGGCATGTACATTGGTTGCGGGCACATCCCCGGTGGGGGGTGTGCAAGAGGCAGCTGGTCGATGTTTCTCTCTCATCGATGTTTCAAGCTCTCTATCTCTCTCCCTTCCTCTCTGTGAAAAATCAATAAAATATAAAAAATAATAATAAAATAAAAAATAATTTTGATTCAAAAGCCGGCTTATAAAAAAAAAATGTTTTCTTCAGTGCTGTATGTATCCCGGCCCCTAAAACCATAGACCTGAGATATACAGAAGACCTTATTTCATAAATAAAAGACTTTAGTTCATAAATAAGGGAATTAAATTAGATCATTCTAAGGTACCTTTCAGTACCAGTCAGTGGTCCGTGAGGTCCAAAAAGTTGGTTACCGCTGCTTTAGATTATTCAGAGACAAACTAAACCTATATAAAGAATTAACAGTTAGGGACATTTGTAATACTTTCAATAATAAATACTTAATTTTTAAAAATTAGCAGTTTAAAATTTCATATGGTAAAGTGCTTTAAGAACTCAGTGAAGGAAGAGAAAAAGTTACAGATGAAAATGGTATTTAGTTTTTGCTTTATTCCCAAAATTGGCTTTCTTCTTCTTAATCTGGCTGCTTTGAAGTAGAGGTTCTTTTGTTTTTTGCTTCCATGTTCTCTTCCTGGAATTACAGTACAACAGTGCATATTTTGAAAGAAGTTATATTTATAAAACTATTCAAAATATTTTTCTAACCTCTGTTCAGAGGTTAGAGCAGCAGCCAACACACCGAAGGGTCGTGGATTTGATTCTTGGTCAAGGACAGGTACCTGGGTTACACATTTGATCCCGACCCCAGTCAGGGAGCAGCGTGTGGGAGGCAAGTGATCAATATGTCTCTCTCACATTAATGTTTTTCTCTGTCTTCCCTCACCCCCTCTCCCATCCCTGTCCCTTCCACACTCTCTACAAATCAATGGAAAAAATATCCCTGGGTGAGGATTAACAACAATAATAAAAATACATAAAATATTTTTCTTAACCAGGATTTGTTTTGATGTGATCCAGATATTTACCTTTTAATTACATAATAGTATACAACTATAATTGCTTAGTAATATTTACACAGATTTTAGGACAAAGTATATTATAATTGCTAGTATTCTCAACTTGAAGCAAATCTAGTGGGATTACAATTCAGTGTGTTTTTTTTAAAATATATATTTTATTGATTTCTTGTTTTTTACAGAGAGGAAGAGAGAGAGTTAGAGAGTTAGAAACATCGATGAGAGAGAAACATCGATCAGCTGCCTCTTGCACACCCCCCACTGGGGATATGCCCACAACCAAGGTACATGCCCTTGACCGGAATCGAACCTGGGACCTTTTAGTCTGCAGGCCGACGCTCTATCCACTGAGCCAACCGGATACGGCATGATTCAGTTCTTTATGCTATCTAATTTATGAGGCTGAATTGAGAACTTGAACCACTTGTGTTTCTTTTCAGACTAAATTTGATAAAACTTAAAGATGAAGTTGTGTGTTTTTTTTAATTCTAAAGAATACAGGAAAATAATTAATTCCTTCATTTGCTTTAAAAAGTTTTAAGGTAGAATTAGGAGTTGTTTTGTTTGTTTAAGAACTGATTTGACATAGAATTCTTTTTTTCTCCCTGGTTTATTGAGATATAATTGATATACATCACTATAAATTTAAGGTATGCAGCATAATGATTTGACTTACATATATTGTGAAATGATCATTGGAATAAGTTTGGGTAACGTCATCATGTTATGTAGATTCAGAAAAAATAATTTTGTCCCTGTGATGAGAACTCTTAAGAACTACTCTCTTAACAACTTTCATATATATCATACAGCAATGATCATGTTGTTCATTACTTATTTTATAACTGGAAGTTTGTAACTTTTGATAGTTTGGCCTCTCTTTTTATTAGTATTTTTTATTCCACATATGAAATCATATAGTATTTGTCTTTCTCTGACTTATTTCATTTAGCATGATGCCCTCATGGTCCCATCTATATTGTTACAAATGGCAGGATTTCCTAGTATTTTATGGCTGAATAAAATTCTGTTGTGTGTGTATCTTAATTAAATTTATTGAGGTAAGATTGGTTAATAACATCCCATAAATTCCAGGTGTACAACATTTAATGTACTGTATTGCATGCCTACCACCCAATCTAGTTTCCTTCCATTATCATATATTTGACCCTTTTGATCCAATTTGTCATTTCCCTGACACTGGTAACTACCATTCTGTTGTCTGTATCTGTGAGTTTGTTTTGTTAGTTTGTAACTTTTTGTTTTATACTCCACATGAATGAAATCAAATTGTTTTTGTCCTTTTCCCTCTGGCTTACTTCACTTATGCTCTCAAGATTCATCCATGTTGTCGCAAGTGGCAATATATATATTTTTAATGGTTGAAATATTCCATTCTACATGTATACCACATCTTTATCCAGTGTCCATTGATGGACATGTAGGCTGTTTTCATGTCTTGGCTATTGTAAATAATGCTGCAATTAATATAGGATACATGTATCTTTAGAAATTAGTATTTTCATATTTTGGAGGTAAATACCCAGAAGATTTACTGGATCATATGGTAGCTCTATTCTTATTTTTTTTAAGCAACCTCCATATTATTATCCATAATGGCTGCCCTAATTCACATTTCTACCAGCAGTATACGAGGATTCCCTTTTCTCCCAATTCTCTCCAACACATTGTTATTTCTTGTTCTTTTTGATAATAGCCATCTCTGACAGGTATAAGGTGATAATCTCATTCTGTTTTGATTTATATTTCCCTAATAACTTAGTGATCCACATACAGGGGAGGGCAGTTGGGGGCACCAGGCCTGCAAGGAAGGGCAGTTGGAGGTGATCAACCTGTAGGGGAGGGAAGTTAGGGGATGAGCAAGCCGGCAGAGAAGGGAAGTTGGGGCAAACAGACTGACAGGGAGCAGTTAGACATCAATCAGGCTGGCATGGAAGTGGTTAGGGGGAGATCAGGCTGGCAGGCAGAAGCAGTTAGGGGCAATCAGGAAGGCAGGCAGGTGAGCAGTTGGGAGCCAGCAGTCCTGGATTGTGAGAGGTATTTCCGACTGCCGGTTTAGGGCGATCCCACCAGAATCGGGTCTAAATGGGCAGTTGGACATCCCTTGAGGGGTCCCAGATTGGAGAGGGTGCAGGCTGGGCTGAGGGACAACTCCCTTTTCCCTGGCCCCATCCACGAATTTCATGCACCAGGACTCTAGTATATACATAAAAATCTAATATGCTAAGTGTCCCTCCTACCTTCCGACCAGTCACTATGATGCACACTGACTACTGGGGGTCAGACACTCAATGCAGGAGCTGTTGAGCTGCCGTGACTTGGCAGCAGCAGTTCTCTGGTGACACACCCCAAAACCAGAGAGGAAGAAGCCCAGTTCCTCCAGGGCCAAGCAATTCCACTTTCAGCCATGGGTTATGTTGTTGCTGGGACACTATTGGCCCCTAATCTGGTTTACTGCACACTTGCCACTTGCATTTGCATTCTACACCCTGCATAACAGCAACTTTGCAGAGTGTCCTCTGACACTCCAGGGCCCCTCAGGGGATGTCTGAGAGCCGGTTTTGGCCCAATTCCCACACGCCAGGCTGAGCGATCCCACCTGCCAGAGGGACCCTGCTCACTCCACAGACACCAGGGAGGGACCACAGGAGATTGGCAACAGGGCATGTTAGCCTGTCTCCCCCAGTCCTGCTCCACTGGCCACCTTCTAATTAATTTCTTTTTCGATGTGAACAAATCCATGCTCCAGGTCGCTAGTAGTAGTAGTATATGGAAAAGCTGGATTTAGAACTGTGAATACTCTGATACCAGTTATATTAAGAAAGCTGTTTATTAAGATGCTAAAGACTTGATGCACAAATTCGTCCAAGGGGCTCAGCCCTCGCAGCCTCAGCTGGCCCTCGCAGTCCCGGCTTTGTCTGGCTATTCAGTCTAATTAGCATATTAGCTGTTTATTAAATAGGATATGTACCCTCTCTATTGGAGAAATTACTGCAGTGTTCCAGACATTTTCAGTCTTCCTTTATTTGTGCCAGAGTAAAATTTTTAAAAAAAATTAATTTCTACAGCTCCCCAATCTCCTGTTTTATGGGCCACCTGGAACTGGAAAAACATCTACAATTTTGGCAGCAGCAAGGGAACTCTTTGGGTAAGTTGAAATATCTTTTTTTTAAAGACTTGACACTGAAAACCTCTGGTACTACTTTTCTTTCTCTAAAAACTTGAATTGTTTTTTTCTGTGAAATCATTGGTTTGTTTTAGTTTCTGAATTTTTTATTAATCCAGTGGGCCCATTTCCAGTTCCTCGCCTCCAGTAAATTAGCTTGCCTATGTCTTTTGTGACCTTCATTCTGAACCTTATTCAATGTTTGAATATATTACACACAGGGAGCCCCATGACATATATATTAATCCTTATCTAAGAATATGATTTCGTTGATTTTTAAAGAGAGGAAGGGGAAGAGAGAGAGAGAGAGAGAGAGAGAGAGAGAGAGAGAGAGAGAGAGAGAGATGAGAGAAACATAGATCACTTGCCTCCCGTATGCTCTCTGACCAGGGATCGAACTTGCAACCTAGGTTATTGAACCCACAGCCTTTTGGTGAAATGGATGGTGCTCTTAACAACTGAGATACCCAGCCAGGGCATGGTTTTTTACATATATGTATTCACAGAGGAAGGAAGAGGGAAAGAAACATCAACAATGAAGAAAATCATCTATCTGCTGTCTCCTGCGCTCCCTCCACTGAGCTAAAATGGCAAGGGCTTATCACTATTTATTATGATTTTGGGCCCAGAAAACCCAACCTGTCTCAAGTCACATTGATAATTTCATCACACTTTCTTAATTATTGCATTAACATGTTTCGTATGATCAAATCTGTTGTGTCCGATGCTACTGACCCATACCACCTCTTTAGTTCCTTCTTGCACTGGCTTTGCTAGGCCCTGTCTCTGGAGTGGCTGGGCCAGATCCTTACCCTCAGGCATCCTAAGTGTAAGCAGAGTATATGGTTGCCGATAGAGTATGATTCTAAGTATAGCAGAAAATTTCTGAGCTAACTTCCTAGAGTCCTCTTCTTAGATTCTGTCTTGGCTTAGTCAACCATTGTTTAGGAGCTCTCTACCTAGAAAAGATTTTAGCCTGGGTCTGATACCCATCAACATGCTCCAGTATAGCAAAGATACCTTTTTGGGAAAATATTTAGGAAAAATAAAACAAATTTAAATCTAGGGTTTTTTTTTTTTTAATTAAAAATATGTAGAAAAATTACTAGAAGGAACCTTTCAAATAGTGCTTTGGGTGTGCCAGTTGCTTTAATTATCTTTTGATTTCTCAGATTTCCCTACAGTGGAAATTTCTTAAAAACTCACTTTAAGCTCTAGCCAGTTTGGTGCATTTGATAGAATGCCAGCTTGCAGACTGTAGGGTCCTGGGTTCGATTCCGGTTAAGTGCTCATGCCCGGGTTGGGGGCTCAGTCCCCAGTAGGGGCATGCAGGAGGCAGCCAATCCATGGTTCTCTCTCATCATTGATGTTTCTCTCTCCCCCTAACTCTCTGATATCAATAAAAATATAATAAATAAAAAACTTATTTTAAAATAACTATTCATGTTTTAATCTAGTAATTTTCCTTATAGCAAGCTACCCGATGGAAATAATTCAAAATATACTGTATTGCAGCATTATTTAAAATTTCAACATACTTAAAACGAAACGTCTAACAATAGAAGGATGCTAAATAAGTAAATGGTGGTACAATCATAGGATGAAATGTCACATAGCTATTAAAATGGCATTTCGGGAGCTTCACATAGCTATAAAAATGGTATTTTGATTGGTTACAAGATGGCAAGGTGATTATGATAAAATACAAAGTGGAAAATTGATTTAAAATTTTATATATTATGTGATATCATTTACCTATATTTTTTAAAAAGCATGGAAGAAAGCCAGAATGTTAACTGCATGTCTCTGCAAAAGAGAAAATACAGAAGTAATTGTGTACCTTTTATCCATATTGTTTAGTAGGTGGATTTTAAACTACTGCAAGATGTGCAAATGTTAAAATGTGGTTAAACATCAGTTACTTACATGCTCTATGACCTAAAAATATTTGCTTCATTTTTACGTAGGCATGAACTTTTTCGATTAAGAGTTCTTGAGTTAAATGCATCTGATGAACGTGGAATACAAGTAGTTAGAGAGAAAGTGAAGAATTTTGCTCAATTAACTGTATCAGGAAGTCGTTCAGAGTAAGTTTCTCCATACCATGTCGTTGTATTTGTTTAAAATACATATTTCTGCCAAATTTACAACTTTTTTCATGTTAGATCATATTTTTATCTAAATTATTTAAAGCCAGAAATAAACTTTCCATTATAATTAATTTTGCTTAGTTGTCAAGGGTTTTCCACTGATATTTGTCTAAGAAGTATTTATTAATCAAATGTGATAGTTGGGTGGTGCATGCATGCATAACAAAAATCCTGACTTTTGCTATGGTGTTATTTTAAAAAAGTCAACTATCTTAGGCTTCGATGTGTATTTCATAGTAGGGTGACCATATAAGTTCTTATCCAAACTGTGATGCTTTCAGAATGAAAGAGGAGGTATTATTAATAATTAAATAGGACTGCCCTAAATTAAACAGGGATGTTTAGCCAACTACTTGTACTCCTCAGGTGCAGTTTCAAGATTAAATTTTTGGTTCCTGACATATATATATATTGTCTTTATTGATCAATAATCAATAATCTTTATTGATTATTACATATGTGTTTTTATCCCCCCATTACTGCTTCTCACTCACCTGACATATATTTAAATTTATATCAGCACACATAAGAATTTATAGGAAGTGAATGACAATTTTTGATATCCACCTTGAATTGACAATGCATATAGATCATATCTGATAAGGCACTTATATCAAGAATATATGAAAAATTCACACAACTCAATAATAAAAAGACAATCTAATTTTAAAATGGGCAAGGTATATGAATTGATATTACTCAAAGAAGATACACAAATGGCTAATAAACAAATGAAAACATCATTCACATCATTAGCCATTAGAGAAATGCCATTCAAAACCATGATGAGATGCCACTTTACACTCACTAGGATGGCTATAATAAAAAATACAGAACATAGTGGCAAGGATGTGGAGAAATTGGAATCTTTAGACATTGCTGGTTGTAATGTGAAAAGATTCAGCCACTTTGAAAAGTTTGGCTAAAACTTAAACATAGGTTTACCACATGATCCAGTAATTCTACTCCTAGATATATACCACAAGAAATAAAACATGTCTATTCAAAATATGTACACAAATGTTCATAACAGCATTATTCATAATGGTCAAAACATGAAAACAATCCAAATACCCATCAACAAATGAATGGACAAATAAAATGCAGTATATCCATTTGCCATATTATTTAAAAGGAATGAAGTTATAGCACTGCAATAGGGGTGAACCTTGAAAATATCATGCTAAGTGAAAGAAGTCAATCATAAAAGACATATTAGATTGACATCATATGATTCCATTTATGAGGCAAGGTGCACAGATTCAAGCACTGGTGAGGTTCCGGCCTAGCCTGCAGGGCTCAGGCTAAAACCGGCTCTCTGACATCCCCTGAGGGTTCCTGGATTGCAAGAGCATGGTTCTCGGGTAAGGGACCTGGAAATTGGTCTCCCTCCTCTCTGGTTCCAGGTACATCACCCAAGAACCACAGCTGCCAAATCACCACAGCTCGGCAGCTCCTACGTTGAGCGTTTTCCCTCTGGTGATCAATGTAGGTCAGAGGTACTGGTCAGACAGTCACTTAGGCTTTTATATAGATAGATGTCCAGAATAGGCAAATTTGGAGACAGAAAGTAGAGATCATGATTGCCTGTGGCTGAAAGAGTCAGGAAAGAAGAGGAATAACTCCTCTTGGGCATGAGGCTTTTCTTTGGGAGGATGAGTATGTTATATAAAATTAGATTGTAATGATGGTAGGTGAATTATCACTCCTATGTGTTTCTCTGAATCAGTGGGAAGCCATGTCCTCCTTTTAAGATTGTGATTCTGGATGAAGCAGATTCTATGACCTCAGCTGCTCAGGCAGCATTAAGACGCACCATGGAGAAAGAATCTAAAACCACCCGCTTCTGTCTCATCTGTAACTATGTCAGTCGGTATGTATATTGCCTTGAAGATAGATGCTAGCAGCCTTATTTTGCTAACCCTCAGTTAAGGAGAGAAAACATTTTTTTTTCAATGTATCAATCAAGGCTACATTAATATCTTCATCAAATCTTGATAAAAATGATTTCTTTGGGGGAAATCCTTCTTTAGTCACTGACTTCTTTCCAATATTTTACAGAATAATTGAACCTCTGACCTCTAGATGTTCTAAATTCCGCTTCAAACCTCTGTCAGATAAAATTCAACAACAGCGATTACTAGACATTGCTGATAAAGAACATGTCAAAATTAGCAATGAGGTAAGTAGTAATTATTAGTTCTTATAATTACTAATTACATTTATGAATACATATGAAGAGGCCCTGAAAGGAGTCATGCGTGTTGCTTCAATTTCTGATGCCAATTCTTCAGGCAAAGGTAAGCTAAATGAACAATTAGAATGTCTAGGAATTACAGATTTAATCTTTCTGTTACTATTAGCAGTTTATAATCTAATCTACTAGAGGCCCGGTGTGTGAAATTCATGTGTGAGCATGTTGTGGGGAGGGAGGGTTGTCCCTTAGCCCAGCCTGCACCCTCTCTAATCAGGGATCTCTCACAATCCAGGACTGCTGGTTCCCAACCACTTGCCTGCCTGCCTGCCAGCCTGATCTCCCCATAACCACTCCCCTGCCAGCCTGGTCACCCCCAACTGTCCTCCCCTGCCAGCCTGATTGCCCCCAACTGCCCTCCCCTGCAGGCCTGACTCCTCCCAAGTGCCCTCCCCTGCTGGCTTGATCACCCACAATTGCTCTCCCCTGCTGGCCACCTTGTGTCCACATGGGGACAGCCAATTTGCATATTACTCTTTTATTAGATAGGATCAGTATATGAGAGACCCCAAACTAGAGCAGATTCATGCATATAATGCAAATTCTGCAGCAAGCAACAAATCTCTATCATAAGATTTTAGTCTCTTGCCGGGACCGGTTTGGCTCAATGGATAGAGCGTCGGCTTGGGGACTGAAAGGTCCCGGGTTCGATTCTGGTCAAGGGCATGTACCTTGGTTGCGGGCATATCTCCAGTAGGGGGTGTGCAAGAGGCAGCTGATCGATGACTCTCATCGATGTTTCTGACTCTCTATCTCTCTCTGTTCCTCTCTGTACAAAATCAATAAAATATATTTAAAAAAAAAAAAAATTTGTCTCCTTGTTAATAATTCCAAAAACTTATTTGATATGAAATTCTGGTACAGTGATAGAATATTTAGGCCTTTTATTCTAACAGAATTTAACCATAATTTGTATTTCCTTTATGCAATCAAGAAAGTAGGATGAGAAGTATGGAATATTTCTGCCACTTACTTTCAAAGGCAAGAGATCTCTATCCTTCCATTGGACTGAGGCTGTCTCCATGAATTCTGCCACTATAGGACTAATAATATTCCCTCAAAAATGGAAATAAGTTTCATTCCTGCTCAGTAACTCTTGGCTAAAATATAGTGCTTTTCACTTTTAAGATAAAAAAAAAACCTTAATTGGTCATCATAGGTAAAAACACATACAAAAAAAAAATTTTTTTTTTCTTTTCAGGGACTGTCCTGTCTTGTTAAAGTATCAGAAGGAGACTTAAGAAAAGCCATTACATTTCTTCAAAGTGCTACTAGATTAACAGGTGGGAAGGAGATCACAGATAAAGTGATCACAGACATTGCTGGGGTAAGAATATTAGTTATTCTGAAATTCTTTTAGGAAGTTTTCATCCAAGTATATATAGAATGCTTTGCATTTGCTTAATCCACTCAGGCTGCTGTAACAAAACTATAGAAATTCAGTTATTAGCTCTGGAGTCTGCAAAGTCCAAGGTCAAGGTGCCCAGATTGTGTGGTGAGGACCCACTTTCTAGTTAAGACTCCCAATTCCCATGACCCCATCGCCTCCCAAAGGCCTACCTCCAAATACTTGAGGGATTTTTTTTTTTTTTAACATGAATTGGGGAGGGAGGTTAGTCTATAGAATGTGCCAAGTACTGTGCTAGGAAAACTGAGTTAACAAATATTTACAGTTAACAAATATTTAATGTCCCATACCTTCAACATCACCCCTCTGATGTATTTTTCTTATATAACCCTTTGCCAAAATAGACTACATTTATAATAAACAAGGCACATGCATTTTTCAACTTTTCAGGCTTTATTGCATTAGCCCCTTTTTTTCTGGGTACTAGGGGTTAAACCAATCTCTGTAGAGAACTGCTTTGAGAAAAGACGGCCACTAAGATATCAGCCACTATTAAAGCCATTAAGTCCAAATCTGAGAAAGTTTTCAAGGGATTTTAAAAGCAAGTTATGTACCACCCTTATTGCATTGTAGTGACTGGACTATTGTATTGACATAGCCACCTTGAAAGTATTTTTACCTCTCTGCTCAGAGTTGAGCATAAAGCTTAAAGACCCCTTTTCCAGTTCTCAACTCTTATCAGCTTTATCATTTGTTAGGTGAACCAATTAAGCATGGAATGTTAGGAGTGGGCACAGGCTTGGCAGAATATCCAAACCACTGTCTCACCAGAAAATATCTTTTTAGGTAATACCAGTAGAGACTGTTGATGGAATATTTGCTGCATGTCAGAGTGGTTCTTTTGACAAGCTAGAAGCTGTGGTAAAGGTAAGGGTTTAAGTTACTTTACTAACTTTGGGGAAGAGAAAATTAAATGTTGACACTGATTTTTTTTTTGTTATAGGACTTGATAAATGAAGGACATGCAGCAACTCAGCTTGTAAATCAGCTTCATGATGTAGTTGTAGAAAATGATGCTCTTTCTGATAAACAAAAATCCATCATTACAGAAAAACTTGCTGTAAGTAGGCATCTTTGCACATTTCAGCAAAATACTTATACCTAAAGGGACAATTATTTAATAACCCTTTCTTTTTCTTATAGGATGTAGACAAGTGCTTAGCAGATGGTGCTGATGAACATCTACAATTGATTAGCCTCTGTGCTACTGTGATGCAACAGTTAACCCAGAATTGTTAAAACCACGTTCAATTCATACCATTTTACAATAAAATAATGAAAGAACCTTTAAAGTGAATATACAATTTATTTAACATTCAAACTTCATTAAGACATGTGCAATATGGCAATTTTACTGGGGGTTTAACCCTACCTAGGATATGATTGCTTGCTGGGGCTTAGCAACAGGGTCCAGTTCACACTTAGCACTAATTAAATACTTTATTGAATAAATACAATACCAAACAAAATGCATTCAAATGCTTCCTAAAAAAAAAATAAAATCAATTGAAAGGCCTTCTATTCAGGCTAATGACAAACACAATAAAGGCAGATAAGCTAGTTTAACATAATTGGCTGATTTTATACAGCACTTATATCTTTTAGTCCACAAGTATATTATTAAATGATAGAGAACATCTAATACAACCATTTCTACATAACTAGGAAATAAATTTCTAAGAAAAAAAGATTTTACAGACCCCATCTTTTGTACCCAACCCCAACAGTCTAACTCTAGAGGATAAAGCCAATGACTCTCCTCACAAGAGCTCACGACTAAAGTCGCTTTGCTATCAAAATCTGTATTTCTGATCCGTTATGAGCATTGAGACAAGATTCAATATTCCCAAAGAAAGAAGCACAATGCACGTTGTGATCACCTAGTCAGCAACAGCGAGCACTGCATTCAAAACTATCTCATCCCGGGAATTAAATAAGGTCAGCCACATTCATTGGCATTTCCTCCACTGTAGTATTGTAGAAAGTCTCAATGTCACGAAGAATCCTCTTGTCTTCTTCAGTAACAAAGTTTATAGCCACACCTTTCCTCCCAAATCGACCCCCTCTGCCAATTCTGTGTAAGAAAAGAAAATAGCAATTAGAATGTTACTTCTAACAAAATGCATGAGTTACTGAACATGATGATCCACTTGTTAACCATCAGCTGCTGTGTTTACTTATCAAGGTTATAGTTCGTGCTTCTAATTGGAGCACTATCTGCTAATCAATATCTAAAAGGAAAAGAAATCTTCCTTTACAGTTAGTGCCATAAGGATTCAAAGCTTGTCTGGCTGCAAAATGAGATTTTATCAAGTGCCTTGTGCATTATTATTTTTAAAGCAGATGACAGTATTGTGTTTGGGGTAGTGAATTTTTTTTTTTAAAAAGCCCATACCAAAGTGGGCCAGCCAAGAGCAGAAGTCAGCCTGGGACATATGTAAACACACCGGACGAAGCAAAAAGAACAGTTATATAATCCATATCGGCGCACTTCTGGAACTGTAAATACAAATGCTGCATGGTTAACTATTGTCTAAACTCACAACTTTTTTCAGTGGGAAAACAAGTATTTGGTATGGTAACACAAACTCATCACTGCTTTTTGCTCAGTTTCACACGTTATAACTCAAATTACTCAAACGTGTTTACCTCCAAAGCAACTTTCTACCTTTCTGATAGAAACCGGACAATATAAAACCTCCTAATAGGCTAATATACAAAAATGCCTTGGCTGGAGCAACTTAAAATATAAAATAATCATTGACAAAAGAAAAACAAATATAAATACCGACTCGCTCTTTATTCAAACAGTGTGCTGTTTCGCTTATGATTCCACGTCCTAAATTACGTCAACGCCGTTTCTGAGTGCCATCTCGTCATCAACTGCTGCTATCGACTCCTGTTTTTAAAAAGTCTTTTTTTACATCATATAACAAAGTACAATTCAATTTATTTAGGGATAAAGCCACTGTAACTAAACCAGGGACCGCTCAAATTGCTACCAGACAACACCAAGAAAATCCCAACTATAATCACCAAGAAAGCACAAGAGCATCACAAAAAATAAAGCTCAAAAGTAAGCTAAGACCAACAAATCTAAACTAAAACAATCTAATCCATAGGTATGAAGTCACAATTTGGGCCAATTGTTTTCCCACTGCATGACCAATGTTCCCAAGTACAATTTTTCATCTTACCAATTTGACACTGTCTACTGAATCAATACCCTGAGACTTTGATTTATCTGAAAGGTAACTTCATCAGTAGAAAATAAATGGTCTTATTTTATCAATACAGTAACAAGGTGCCACCTACTCACCTGTGAATATAGTTTTCACGATTGGTAGGTAGATCATAGTTTATAACCAATGACACTTGTTGCACATCAATCCCACGAGCCTGAAATACAATGGCATGGTATTAAAATTCTAATTGATAAACTAGAGACTTATGTAATGTAGGCCACAAAATAGTAATGGGCTATATGTTAGTGATATAGCCCACTGTGGAGTGTGGTCTTTATTCTCCCAAAGAGCCTAATTGGTAAAGGTTACTAAAAAACCTTCACCCAAAATAAAACTTTTGGTAAATCAAAAGAGCTGTTGATTTACTTACCAACAAGTCAGTAGTGATCAGAACACGGCTTGACCCTGATCGGAATTCCCTCATGATAACATCTCTTTCCTTCTGGTCCATGTCACCATGCTGCAAATTAACAAACCTTCATTCAAGAATCACCAGTCAGTCAATATTTAATTTTAACAATTATGTATGAGACCAAGCGTCCCTGGCTGCTACAGTAGTCTAGCAGACAGGTATAGTTAAGAAACAACTTTATTTTGAGCAGGGGGAACGACAACACAGCACTTAACAGCTATATTGTAGTCTAAATCCTGCTTTAACATGAGAAGACATTGTAATTACCACTACTAGAGCAGAACACCTCTTACCAGAGCAGAAACTGTGAAGTCCCTGGCATGCATTTTCTCAGTGAGCCAGTCCACTTTGCGCCGTGTATTGAGAAAAATAACAGCTTGTGTAATTGTCAGTGTCTCATACAAGTCACAAAGTGTGTCCAACTTCCATTCCTATAATATTTCAAAGAAAAAATTAAGTCATTAAAATGGTTTCCAACTTATAATTAAAAATTCGCTGTTAAGGTGATCAGAAGACATGTTGCACCAAATTTTAAGACAAAGGACACTGGACATTAAGAAAGAGGTCCACCCCAGTCTTTATCATCTAGTGCAGTTACTTTTCTTCCTGTGTGTACTCTGCTAGCATTATTACAAAAACCAAGATATAATCCTAGTTTCTGCAATTTTAGCACAGTGCTTATACAAGAAGGTCAAGTATCTGGCTACTTTTTTTGTTTAGTAATTAGACAAGTTACCTCTCTTTCAACATTGATATAAAACTGTTTGATTCCTTCAAGGGTCAATTCTTCCTTTTTCACCAGAATTCGAATTGGATCTCTCATAAATTTTTTGGTCACCTCCAACACATCAGTTGGCATTGTGGCAGAAAGCAACACAACCTTAAAAAAATAGTAAACTGTTATCACACAAGTAGTTAGCTGAACTTTTACAATACTGAAAAAACTATGTTTGAGGCCAAGCGTCTCTGTCTAGCTATGGAATTGTGCTAGACAGAGATAGTTATGCATCAATTGCTTTAAGCAGGGGGAACGACAATAAAACACTTCAGTTGTATTGTAACTGTTCCTGCATTAAAACCTGACCTCCAGCTATAGTAAGGGATGAAATAAAGCTCACCTGAATACTTGTATTTAATTTTTGGAAAATCTCATAGATTTGATCCTTAAATCCCCGGCTCAACATTTCATCTGCTTCATCCAAAACAAACATTTTGATCCATTTTGGAGCTGTTAAAATAAAATAATACTATCATCCCTAAATTCTCAATTATAGTAAAAAAAAAAAAAAAATCTTTGCTAAATTAACACAATACTTACAAAGATATCTTCTGTTTAGCATATCAAACACTCTCCCTGGTGTACCAACAACAATATGTGGTGCTTCGGCCTGCAGTTTTTGCATTTCATTGCGAACATTAGTTCCACCAATGCAGGCATGACAAGTTGCTCCCATGTAGTCTCCAAGTGCCAGAATTACCTTTTGGATCTAAAAGGCAAAAGCCTTAATTATTATCCAACAGATTACAGATTGTGACTAACTTCCAAAGCATAATGGCAAATATCTGGTCTACACACAGCTTTTATGCATGCATAGCACTTTACTATTTCAAAGTTCAAAATGATGACTGATCTAACTGCTTAGAGGTAAAATTGCCTTGCAATGTTCTGTGCCTTGTCAAACTTGGGATCCTATTGTCCCAGGTATCTGCTAGATTAAGAACTAAAAATATGTCCTTTATTCTTCATCGTGTAGGGAACGATAAGTAGTGGACCACGCTCTGCAATTACAGCTACAACAAATCGTTGCTACTTTAATTTTTCCCACAGGGCAGTGACATTGACCTCAATAAAGCCTAGTTTTATTAGCAATGTGTACTTCAGTCTTTATCAGCAGTGAATCTTGAAAACATCATGCAAAAAGATGCATCACAAATAACATTGTCACTGCAGTTTTCATGTTGCACAACTGCATTCAAACTTAAAAATGAGACCGAATCTAGTCCACCCTGCACCCTGAACAGAAAGCTTTAGTTTCTCTGTTATATAACCCTATAAACCATACTTGCACACCCAGTTCCTATTTAACTTTTAAAAACTCCCTGCATGCATGGACAGTTAAAAGGAAGTTTCTGATAGGACCAATTTATACTATTTTGAATTCTTCAGTTGTGAAACCTGAAACCTATGCAACACGCAAGCGGTTTTAACTACACTATCAATACCTGTTGTGCCAGTTCTCTGGTGGGGGCCAATACTAGTGCTTGGGTCTCCTTGAACTCAATCTCCAACTGTTGCAGGATGGAAATAGCAAATGTGGCTGTCTTGCCAGTACCTGACTGAGCTTGAGCAATCACATCATACCCTAAAAAAAGTAGGATACATATTTACCGATCCCACATCAAACCGTCACCTCTAGTTTACACTATGTATTCCATTTGGAACATGAAATATGCCCAAATAATCAAGTGATCAGCAATGAGTATTCTCTTCATTTCAGGTCAGTCCCGAAAGATGTTTGCCATCATTTCACTTTAAGGAATACAAGTAGGTACTAGGTCCCCCAAACTATTTTCCCTTTTATAATCCAGGTCTACGTAAAACAATGTTTCACTGTCACTAACTGCCAACGGATTCTTTTTACCTTTAATACAAGGAATAATAGCTCTCTGCTGAATAGCTGAAGGCTTCTCAAAACCATAAGCATAGATGCCCCGGAGAAGAGACTCCTTTAAATTCATATCATCAAAGTTATCAACAATCTCATTCCAGTTGCTCTGTAAGAAATAAAAATTTAAAACGGAATAAATAGGATGGCCAACCTCACCTTTCCACAGTCTCAAAATCTACACCCATTTCTTACCTCGATGACACCATCGGGTTCCATTCCCTCTGGGCCGCCATGTTCTCTGCAGACAAAAAGGCTGCAGTTAAGAGAACATCTCCTTCAAACCCCCCATCTGCACATCAGGGAGGGGGCAGCTCTTCACTACCTCTCCCTTCCGGATATCCCCCCCCCAAAAAAAAGGTCATTTCCTACTGAAAAAGCAAAGGAAGCTGGCGGGGCAGGGCACACATTTCATCTACCGGGTGCCCGCCGGAAAGGGTGAGAGCGGGGACGACCGGAAAAGCTCCCGGCCGCCGGCCATCCCCCCCGCAAGCCCCGCGCTCCCCCAAGTCTCGACGGCAGGCCGTCTCGCGAGAGCTCCCCACGCCGAGCTCCGCCCCTTACAATGCGCAAGCCGAGTGATTGACGCGGGCAGACCCTGGCCTGGGCTAAGCTAACGGTTCGCCGGCCCGGCCCCGGCGCACCTCCCGGTCGTGTCCAGGGGGTGCCGCGGCCTCCCTCCCCCGCCCCCAATTCCCTCCACCCGCGCCCGTGGCCGCACATAAAGCTTCAGGCCCGGTTACCCTGCACGGAACGCGGCCTGCGCCACGGATTTCCCCAAATGCCAGCTCCGTGCAGGCACGGGAGGCGCCGGAAACTCAAAAGGGTCTCCAGGAAAAGCCACCGCAACCACTCCATCTCTGTACACGTTTTCCCTGCAGCCCGTGGCCCTGCCCATCATGGAAGCTTCTCGAAGGACACAGGCGTAGCGTACCTCCAGGCAAAACACCTAGGAGCCCCCAGTCCCCGGCCTCCACACACCAGCCTCTCCCACCCCCCGATGGCGCCGCATGCCCTGCCCCGCGGGCCCCGCGGGAAGGCGCCGTACCTGTTATAGTCCGCAGAGCCACCAGACATGTTCCGAAGAGCCGCTCAGCGCCCGACTGGAAAGACAGCGGGCCCGCGCCGCCCGTTTTTTATAGGCTCGCGGCCGGAACCCGTTTTTCCTGCGGAGGAATTTTCCTGCCGCGCTTCGGCTTAGCCACAAAATTGTGATCCTGGAAGCCTGACCTCCGAAAATATCCCAGGCGAGCCTGCGGGGGAATCCCAGTGGACGGTTGCAAGACATTCCAGGGTCGCTGGATGCCGCAGGACGCCGCGGGGAGGTTGGCACTCTTTGCTTTAGAGGCGGAAGAATATTGCAGCAAGCGGTTGACGGACCGCGTTCCCCTCCCACCCTGCTCCTACGGGGTTTCCGCGTCCCTGAAGCGGAGGGAGGCGGAAGCCGGAGGCGCGCCGCGTGCAGGTGGCCCGGCTTTACCCCCGGGAGTCTGCGCCGAGCTCGTCCTTCGCGGCGCCCGGGGCCAGGGAGGCAGGGGCACCCCCACTCTGCACCGGAGGCGGGTCGGGTGATTCCGCCCGATGACATAGCGATGGGAAAAGGGTGTTGAATGTGACAATGAAGGGCTGCCCGGCTTTTAGCCCGAGCACTTAAAGCCCATTCAGATGGTAAAAGCGTGACAGTCGTTTGGAAAGTCGGCCGCCCAGCGCGTCCCCGGAAGCCCGGGTCACCGCCCTGCGCGGGGCGAGCGAGGACGTGCGGCGGCCTCTGCAAGCGTCTCTGGAGCAGCCAACTCTGTCCCTCCCCTGTTGTTGTCTCAGGTCTCCTCTAGCTTTCTTTCAAACAATGATCTTCATTTTCACCGTGGTGAGGAATGCCTGATAAAGTCATTTTAAAACTTTTGTAATTGGATGACAGCTAAGGAGGAGTCATGTTTCCTTACAATGAAGACATTTAAGTGCATGCTCCTGACATATGCAGCTCCGTGCTATTTGGGGACGAGAGGTTTTGGTTCTGGTTTATAGAGGTCTGTCTTTAAAGACTTGAGTTTTAATTGCTTATTCGTCATGAATGTTCATTTACTAAAAGTGAGATCAACACAACACTTGCTATTCAAATAAACTGCATGATTCTTGAAGGTATAGAGATTTTCAACTGCAGTCTTAACCCAGGCCCGTTGGTAAAAACAACGTTTCTACTCATGTAAACCACCCCCTCTCCATTTCCCCCCCAAAACAGCAGCATATACAGGAGGCAAAATAATGCTAGCTCTGTAAATTTTCTCGTGCGAGTCTATAACTGCCACAGAGCGACAAAGAGCTCAATGAGAAGACATACTCGTGTAACTTTTAAATACAATCCTTCTGGTGCAGCAAGTTATCATGAATATTCAGGAAAACATTTTCTCATTAATTCAGAAGACCAACCTAAAGTCTGAGACTGGAAATACTGATTCTTAATTTTCTATATTTGTGTATCATATTTGATATGATACATGTATTTTTACCTTTATTTCAAAATTATTGTGCCATTAACTGACAAAAATAAATACGATTAAAAGGTGGACCTCAGTCTGGTGATGTGGTTCCTATCCATCTGCCTATAATGTTCAAAGCTGGACATTTTCTGAGAATGAACATGAGAGTGGCCAACCAACCATTTAGTCTTACCCTAAAGACTCAAGTGAGACTAAATGGTGAAGAAACCAATGAAAATACTGAATCAGAAAAGTGACATATTTTCATTGGTTTCTTCACCATTTAGTCTCACTTGAGTCTTTAGGTTGTAATCATCACTCATAGGGTGAAATCAAAGATTAACGCCTAATTGTTGGTTGTTGTCTTTACATTTAACACTACTGTTAAATGCTGTGCAGGATTTCCAGTGTCTTAAGAGGAAATAATCAAGAGCTAAACTATGGTTTAGATCACAATTGTTGAAGTGATTTTAATGTAAGAAAGCTCTATAATCCAAAATTCAGTGAAAATCCAGTCAAAATCCAGAACCCCATTGCCTGCAACCCTGCAATGTATTTCTAATGAATGCTGTGCTCACCACTTTTGTTTATGCTTACTCAATAGCATTCATGAATAATAAATGAGTTAAAGATCTAAACCACAAGTTTTGCATATCAGTGTACAAGCACACACTTTTATGGTTGAGAAAAAATTTCTACTTACTTGAGATCTAAAATTAGATATCCTTCGCAAAGTCAACAGTAAATGCTTCTTTGCTCATCCGGAGTTCGTGAGGACATTTATTCTGCAAATGATGCTAAAAATCAGATTATTTCCCCTTGTGGCCACCTAGTTTAGTTTTGCCCTTTAGTAGCCTCAGCTGACAATTCTAAACCCATCTAGCAATTGTAAGCCAATATTCACCAGAGGAGAGGAATCAAGGAATTAGGTAGTACAAATTTGTCAGTATGACATGGAAAGACAATAACAAAACCTTAAAAGAATATGCTTTATGTTGGTAGTGACATCATCCTATAGAAGTATTATGTATTCTCATCATTCAGGGAATATTGTATGCCACCGTAAGATCCTCACATTATTTTAAGTTCATTAGTTCATTTTGTGGTACCTATACATTTAAAGCACTGTCTTGCCCTGACCCGTACAAGGAAGGGTAGCAGGTTCAATTCCTGGTTAGGGCAAATGCCCAGGTTGAGGGTTCGATGTGTGGTCGACATGGGGTGAGTAAGGCAGGCAATTGATCAATATTTCTCTCACAGATTGATGTTTCTCTATCTCCCTTTCTCTCTCTAAAAATCAACAGAAAATACATCCTTGGATGAGGATTAAATAATAATAATAGTAATAATAAAGCAGTGTCTTTATAAGCTATTAATATGCAAAAATATGTTAAGGTATGTGTTTCAGATCTTTAACTCATTTATTACTCATTAATATAATTTATTATTTAGTAAATACACACTATAATACATGCTGTTCCTCCATCTATAATTTAAGTGTTTAAAAAGAATTGCCATGAGCTGGATAGAAACAGTAGTGTTCACCTCTTTATTATTCAACTGTGGGAGGAAATTAGAGGTTAGATTGTGCTTAAATATAGGCAGTGTCAACTGAAGTATTTTGGAAGATGGCACTCACTGCCACAATCTTTACAATAATTTTTGATCACTTTTAAAAGTTAGTGTAAAGATGCCGGGACCGGTTTGGCTCAGTGGATAGAGCGTCGGTCTGCGGACTGGAAGGTCCCGGGTTCGATTCTGGGCAAAGGCATGTACCTTGGTTGCAGGCACATACCCAGTGGGGGGGTGTGCAACAGGCAGCTGATTGATGATTCTCTCTCATCGATGTTTCTAACTTTCTATCCCTCTTTCTTGCTCTCTGTGAAAAATCAATAAATAGTATTAAAAAAACAAAATAAAATAAAATAAAAGTTAGTGTAAAGATCTTGCCATTTTTTTACTTTTTTAAAAATATATTTTATTGATTTTTTACAGAGAGGAAGGGAGAGGGATAGAAAGTTAGAAACATCTATGAGAGAGAAACATCCATCAGCTGCCTCCTGCACACCTCCTACTGGGGATGTGCCTGCAACATGCCCTTGACCCGAATCGAACCCGGGACCCTTGAGTCCACAGGCCGAGGCTCTATTCACTGAGCCAATCCGGTTTCAGCAAGATCTTGCCATTTTTTAAAAATATATTTTATTTATTTTTTACAGAGAGGAGAAGGATAGAGAGCTAAAACATTGATGAGAGAGACATCGATCAGCTGCCTCCTGTATTCCCCCTACTGGGGATATGCCTGCAACCAATGTACATGCCCTTGACTGAAATCGAACCTGGGACTTTCAGTCCACAGACCGATGCTCTATCCACTGAGTCAAACTGGTTTTGGCTAGATCTTGCCATTTTAATGCCATTTACATGAAGACAGGTGAAGATATAAATAGAGTTGAAGAAAATGGAGAAAATTGAGGAGGGCCATGGAAGGTTTTACTGAGCTATATAAGGACCGGATTTAAATCCATTAATCCAAGGTTATCAAACTCTATTGTGTAACCACAATATGGCAGTTTTTCTAGCTCTACCCTTATAAAGACTAAAATAAAAAATTGTACTTCAGTATATCTATAATTATAGAGGGAGATCTAGTTTAACACATATGCATGTGGACTCTGCCCTCCCACCTTTTCAAAATAAAAGGTGGGGTCAGCTTTTTATTTTTTTAAATTCTAAACTTAAAGAAAAATTGCAAGAATAAAACAATGAACACCAAATGTTTGCCACACTTACCAACTCGTACCAGTTTACTATATTCGTTCTCTCTCATACTTATCTATGACTTTTTTCTGAATTTTTTGAAAGTCACAGAGATAACAGTGTCACTTCACTCCTAATAGTTTAGCACTACCTCCTAAAAACAAAGATGTTCTTTCATAAAACCAAACAATCCTATTAGAACATGAACAGAATACATGGAGGAAAGATATTTTGCTGAAGAGGATATACAGTTGGCAATAAGCACATGAAAAGGTATGTAACATAATTAAATACAAATAAAAACCACCATGAAATATCACTATATATCTATTAAAATGGCTAAAATAAAAAATTGTGACAATACCAAATCCTGTCAAGGATGGGAAGGAACTACATCACTCATACATTACTGGTGGGAATATAAAATGGTAAAGCCACTCCAGAAAAACAGTTTGACAGTTTTTGTTTTTGTTTTTTAAGTGCAACTACCATATATTGCAGCAATTTTACTCCTGGGCATTTATCTGAGAAATGCTCACACACAGACTTGTGCATGAAAGGCCATAGCAGCTTTTCTTACAATAATGGAAAGCTGGCAACAATTCAGATGTCTTTCAGTGGGTGAATGGTTAACCGGCACTACATTTATAGCATAGAATAATACCACTCAATAATAAACATGAAGGATATGTTTATTAATATAAACACAGCCTAGATGAATCATTAGACTATCATGTTGAATGAAAGAAAATCTCCATGATTCTACATTTACATAGCATTCTTGAAAAGACAAAATTATAGAAATGGAGAACATGTTAGTAATTGCCAGAGATTAAGGAG